TAATGTTCCCGTCGATCTGGTTAATTTGGCTGTACTTAGACGCTAAGCTTTCAGTCGGCCTTAAGCGAAGCTTCAACCCGCGCTTTCTCAGCAACCGGCTGCGTCGTCCTTTTCGTTCGCGTGTCGCCCAGGAAGACATACGCAAGTTTTTTTGACAGAAATAGATTGTGCTAGTTGTTTTGATGTTCAAAATTTGGAGAGATACAAGTAGTATGTTCGCTCCCTTTTGAGAGCCGCACTTTTTACTGTAGTTGGGAAACCCTACCCTCAGGTGTTCAGCCACTCCAAGTCTGTATGAGACCGTGCAACGCCGATGTTTACTGACTCCCCCCGCCCATTTTTTTCGCGATGTTTTTTTTTGTGAAAGAAAAGGAAAGAGGAAAAATAAATCAGCGTGACACCCTCCCCCCCTCTTCATGTTGCGGAAATCTCTCAGATTCAGAATTCTTGAACTTGGCAGGTATGGATTGCCGTCGACCTGACCATTTCTCTATCTCCGAAACAGTAATTTGACGTTGGTTGGTATGGTTTCGTTTTTCAAAACTGTTCAGGAAATAAAGTTTTACTGTGTCAAATCATGAACAAATGAATTGAGAGACACTCAATTCTCTTCGGTGCTGGCTCCTTTTCTATTGTGCGAGGGGTGAAGCTTAAGTGAGGTAAAGTGAAGACTAGACATGCTTGTTATAATTTCAGTATGCATGTACTATATAAGTGTAATAAAAATGAGTCTATTCTGAAAAATTTAGAGCAAAACATTTTCAACATTATGTGCCTCTTTTTGTCCGTGAAAAACCTGTGACAGGTCCTGGAAAGTCCTGGAATATCCTGGAATTTCCGCTTTGGAATCCTGTGCGAACACTGCTTTAGCTTGGTGATGCTGGGTTATTTCTACGCTGATTCATAGCACAGAGGTTCGAATTAAGCCGCTGGCGATCTCAGACAGGAGACGGATGTCCAAACTCCAGACAGAACCATGCACTGAAACCATGCGTTCACACACCTCTCGCAGATCTACGGGCACTTTGTTGTTGGCGTAGGCCTTCCATCCCTTTGGGGTGTTCGGCTTGCTGCGGTCACTCCTCAGCCATTTGTTGACCAGTGGGGAGTTAGTTGGCCTTGCCTAATCTCTGTGGCACATACCAGAGTATGGTGATAGTTTTTTGGCTGGTTGTACTGCTACATGTCTGTTAAGGTGATGACAGTTTTCTGGTGGGGCACTCTGGCAGATACCTGTTTTCTAATTCACCACGCAAATTACAGCCAGCTTAAAGGATCTCCGATACCAAACTTGGAAACCAAAATGCTCGTGTTGTTTGATAGTCCTGCATGTGGGGCCGCCTCTGACCGATTATTAGCGGCGAGCGTTGCCTAGAAGATATTTTAATGTGGTTTTAAAGTGAGGGTGCTTGCTCATCTGGGTTATTTAAGATTCAGTCTACATTTTTTGTGGTTTCACACAGACGGGGATGTTGCAGAGGTCAAGCAAGTATTGTCAGTGTCAGAGAACATTTGGGGGCGGGGTGCAGACTATTTTTCATCAACCCTCTTTCTCTGCTGTCGGGCTGCACTGAAGGTGGTTTTGACTGCTTCTTCCAGGAATGCTTTTCTTTTTACTGGGGGAGGACATGCTCAAAGCACCCAAATCTTTTCATTTTTCACCACCCGTGGTTCCCGCTAATTGAAAACAACGCATCACCGAAGCTTGACTGCACGTAGTCTTAGGCACTGCTCCGCTGTGGGGTGCCAGTTTATTGTGGTATTTAGGTAGGCATTGCGAACACACACAAGATCGTTCTGAATTGATCATGCTAGCAATAATTACAGGATGCATTAGAGCATTTACGATATAATTTTGGCATTACCAGATGCAAAAGTATAAATTACTGTAAAAAACTCGCAACTGTCAGGGGTTTTTAACTTTTGCTTTCAGTGGTTTTTAACAGCGAAGATGTTCAAAGGTTCTTGTTTATTGTCAGTCAAGCTTTTATTTCCTCAGTGGCTTGCTGATGACTGTCCGCCAGTTACCGGCAAGTTCAAACGCTCCAGCCACCTCACAGCCCGACCATCACTGGGTGGAATGGTCGAGCACGTCAATGTGTTTCAATAGGCAATCGACACTGGACCAGAGGGGACGATGGAGGTCTTTTGGGCTGCTTTAGCATTGTTGGTATCGACCGCCAGGGATACTAAATAATGAAACTCTCACATTTATATGCAAAGTACCAGTGCCCTTTTTGGCACGTTTTCAAAGAAGGCTTCCTGCGTGCTTCCATAATCACCTGTGATCCCTTGCCCACAACTAAAAAAGAAAAAAAAATGTGTCTGGCAAGTCCAGTTTTTCTCTGTCTACTTGCTAGGCTGTGCGTTCTGCGTTATTATCGGATCCCATAACTGCATTGCCCGGTGCTGATAGTACGTGTTTGTTGCACTGCTAGATACGTTCAGTGCAATACCACAAGCTTTCAACTATGTCCTTCAGAGGTGAAAAAACTGGCTACTGGTTTTCAAGTGGAAACTCTCCCATCATGCCTGCACTAAGATTGTGGGTTCATTCCCATGTGCATACCTGCCAAGTTTCCCTGATTTACCGGGAAACTCCCGGATTTTGACCGTTTATTCCGTTTGTATGGTTGTCATGAAAATCTCCCAGAAATGAAAATTTACGTGTGTGATCTGGCTGCATTGACAAAAATGCAGGTCAGTCCGCTCCAGGCCTTTTGCGAACCCACTGCATTTTATTATAAACGATCTTAGAAGGCATTCTTCTAAATGTACAATAGGCTCTCAGTGATGCGAAACTGTGGCAGATACGATTTTGTGAAGTTCCCCAGCCAAATCCCACTGTGTCCATTGGGTCGAAATTCGAGCGTTTCAAACACTTTTACTAACCGCGGAAGGTAATATGAACTTAGTACTGACACGATCGAACTAAGGCCGGGAGCAGCGTGCTCGAAGCTGCTTAGGAAGTACGCGTACGACCAGCATACGCACAGTCTTTTTTGGTGCATGTGGTTGTCGCTGCTACAATCGCTGTCGTTCTTAACAGGATCATGTATGTCAACGATGTTACTGACAGAACTCGGGAAGTGTGCGCGTGTCCAGTGCTAGACCAGTCAAAGCAACACCGCTGTCTGAAAATTCTGTAGACAAAACCGCGGCATATGCGATCATAGATTGCATTAAGCGACTTAATTGTAAAGCACATGCGCAGCCAGCGCACACAGATTGAAAATGGAACTACCGTTTGCCACAACTGTCGTGCAGCCATCACACGTGGATTGAAAACGGAACTACCGCTTGCCGCAACTGCCGCGCACAAAAGCGTGGTTGCTGTGTGTTAGAGATCTACGAGCTCCGAGGGCACACGGCTACCGCAGCAGTACATTACGGGACTGGCATATGTGCTTTTTGTTGTCTACCTTTTCTCTTTCACCCCCTTTATAAACTCTGACGTTTGCAATAAACGTTTAGTTGAAGTTAAGCGCTGTGTTGTGTGTTCTGTGTAATAGTGGCTGCGCCTCCTACCAAGATGGATTCATACCAACTGGCCCGATACAATTGTTTATTGAGTATAAAAACCGCCAGGCTTGCACGGAAGGTGCAGCACAGTCACAGCGAAAGCTAGAAGAGCGGCTTTTCTTAGCCTTTTCTAAACACTCGTTGGCTAACTGCTGCAAGCACACTTGCTTGATGCCCGTTACGGCATTAATTTAAAATTTTAGGGTAGTAGGCTGGCATTCGCTAAGCTATTTTTTGTCATTCTTCTCAGAAGCGTGGTATCCGCTAAACTATTACGAGGAATTTTGTGAAAAGTGTTCATGCAGTGGCTGACGACAATGAATCATGCCTGAAGTGTATGTGTGCCACAGTTAATAGTTGAACAAAAACAAGCTTTTGTAATAGGTTGGAGCATTGAACGACCCACTCGTTACGCTATTCGCAGTGTGTGACGACTGCTTGTTCTTTTGCTGTTTTAAAATGCTTTATAAGTCGTATTAACGTGATTGCTTTCCTAACATCAAGCCTGCCTAAGGCAAGTTTGCCAACACGTCCCAAGCACTGGCGTGGCTCAGTGGTAGAATACTGGGCTACCACCCAGCGGACCCGGGTTCGAGCCCCACTGTGTCATTGGTACTAGGTTTTTTTTGGTAATTTCACGTGATGTGGTTATGAACACCGGCGGCGGTGTACAACTACGGGGCTGCGCGAGACCCGAGTTGTTATCTCATAACAGCATTCGTTGTAAAAAATAAAGCTCGCGCTTTGATGAAGTTGAATAGAGAAATTAGAATTCTATGTACTTGGTATTGAACTCCTGTTTGTAAATTGATGCTTGACTTGTTTGTAAATGCTAAGAGGCTGTACTGATGACCTGGTATTTATATGTATGGATGATGCACAACAGAAAAGAAATTCATCATTGCCTAATGCTTAACTAGTCCCAGAAATACAATGAATTGCTTTTTGGACAAGTTTCTTGAAACAAGTCATTTGAAGCACACACAAGAGGACCTAATGAGAGATGAGAGAGTTTATAGACTCGTGGAAGTGGCGTGAGGATTGTTGCCAGTGTACTTTTTCTCTAGTAGAGCTGTTAGCTTGACTTGTGTGACCTTTATAACAAAGGCCCTATTCTGTGCCATGGAAGCTGCATTGTGCCTTTGTAGAGAGTTCTAAGTGAGCCATGAGCTGTTGGTCATTGTTGAGACCCTCATGCAGTGATAGTCATTGAAGGCTCCTTTTTTAATATGCCTACCTGCAGTTTACCATTGCCGACTACCTGTTGTCTCAGAAATTGGGCTTTTCTGCCCCCAAGTTTGAACGACATAGTTAAAGTTATATAGCTCAAGTATTGTAAAAAATTATATTTCTGTTGACTTGTACTTGAAGGGAGGAAGGAAGGAGTTACTGGTGCACAGAAAATGCATTTCACAATTGTGTTATAGTGTTATTGCTATTTTTCTTGAAAGAGGTATTGACCTAACTTTTTTGTGCAGATCAATGAACATGAGATGGGTGATGGTGAAATCAAGGAGATTGCTGAGGTCATGCTCTTTCAAGTACCAATTCTTGGGCTTCACCAAGCTGAACGTTACATTGCTTACAGGATGCTGGCTTACATGCTGCGTAATTATCACTCAGGTGGGTATCTAGCGAAAGACTTTTGTTGCTGTAGACATACCTGGTTGCATAATAATAAAGGTTGTTGAATTATGTGTGGCTTGAAAACACGCATTAATTTGAAAGCTTTGATGAAATGTTGTGGTTGTGTTAGTATTTGTATGAGCACAAAAGTCACATAGGGCAGCTTCGTCTGCAGTGAAGCTAAGTGTGGGTTGTATTTTGTGATCGTAATTGGCTCTTATCATCAATCTGCACTAGAGAGCCAGCCGTGGTTGAAAGAGCTAATCTTGATTGGAATTCGTTGCAATTAACAGTATGTGTGACACTAGTATAATTTGTGAAGGTTAACAAGTCCACAAGTTTCCATTAACAGTATGTGTGACACTAGTATCGTTTGTGAAGGTTAACAAGTCCACAAGTTTCCATTACTGTTGTAGCAGTACCATGCGTGCAATAAAAAAGGTAAAATTGGAGGACACTTGAGCTTTACCTGAAGAGTAGAACGTGATAGTGTATCACCTTCTCAGTCAGTAGCCTCGCTTCGCGTTTCACTGGACACCTCAACCATACCAGGGGCATCTGTGCGAGTGACATTGGTTGTTCATAGAATGCTTACTTCAAGTGCAGTTGTCAAGTGCCCACTACACCATAATATTTTCCTATTGCGAATCAGTGAAGTACCCGCTATGCATCTGTAAGGCAATACTCGAACCTATGTGGCTTGTCACTTTGCTGAGGCTTTTGCCGATGATGATGGTTAAATATATCTGAGCACTTTGTAATGAATGGGCTTCTTTCGTTATCACGTGATAATGGTAATTTTTCATATGTCTAAGGAAGATGTATTTTTTCAGTTTAAAAAGTACTTTAGCACGCATTGCAGCATGCCAAATTTTGTACTATGAAATGCCCTTTCCAAAAAATTTGTTGTAGAGTAACAAAAATATTTTGAAATGAATAAAAATGTGAAAAGTGGGTAATTTTTGGTTGCCAGCTAGTAAACATTGTAATAAAATGAACTCTGTGTATATATAAAAATATTTGAAACAAAAAATTCAGAATATGCATTTTGAAAATAAGTGACCAAGGAACAGTATAAAAAATAATAAATGTTGAACAATATTAATTCTATTCATATATACAATGAAAATCGGAACGGAGGTGCTGCTTCATTGCTTGTGCCATGCTGTGAAGCATTGATGGGTTTTTCGTGAGACACAAGTGAACTCGTACACTTTTCTCAGTACATATTTTTTGTGTGCGTGTGATAAGAGACTGCAGGTGTTCCAGTATAGATGAATGCCCTTGATGTGAATAATCCCTCTATAAATGAGATGTCCAATGAGCTTCGCTAGTTAATCTAGTGCAATCGCGAAACGATGCCTTTTTCGATGCCAATGCTAATCATTTTGTTCGCGCTTGGCCAGTGTGGTAACTAATCAGTGTCTGTTTATCCGCATTATCATCAAAATCAGCTAGCCACAGTGGTGGATGATATGAATGGCATAGAATAAAGGAAAAGTCGCCGCTCCACGATACCCTGCCTCCATCTCGGCATTGTCGGATACACTTTGACGGCGGACAGCTGCTGGTGTTAATGTGTTAATGGAACTGTTTGGTTCCTTTACGAAAGTGGTTGTGGGCGTTGCTTCAGCGTGCTTTTCACCATGACCTCGCTGTGCTCGGGTGAGAATCTTATTGTGGCGCTTCTTGGAAAGAATAGGAAGCTGCGGGCACTTTTGAATTTTGAAAATGAACGTTCCATTGTTTTGCTAGCTCAGATCGGGTTCTTTTTTTTATTTCACTACTATGAAATTTTCGCTTTAACGAAACTTTTCTAGCGCCTTGTCAGTTTCATTGTAGCGGGGTTCGACTGTACACGAAATTTATTGCACGTGGAGGCAGCGACTCCACAGCATGTCGATGATGAATCAAACAGGCACACATGCAAAAAGGCAGCGCTTTGACAACGACAGGCCACCTCCACGTGAAGAAGAGGATGCTTTTCAACACGGCACTGATAGTGTGGGCCTATTCGCTGCCGACTTAGTTCCTCATGACGCTGGAAAAGCAATTTATTGTTCTAAATTCAGATGCTACTTTTTTTAGCTGTCTCATCTGTGCCTATTTGAATCAAGAAAAATTAATTGTTGTAGAATAACCAGTGAACAGAAATCATTGTACATGCTATTTCTGTGATGCAGCTATGTTTTCTTTTTTACGTTCACTATATTCACGTGATTATAATTCAATCGCCATGCTTGATATCGTGAAGCCAGATTTTCTTATATTTGGATGCCTCTAGCACTTCATTGTCACCAGTCTTGCAACATTGCAGGCGCACTCGCCTACGGCACTGACGACACAGCACCATTTATTAAGGCGAAGGCCTTAGATAGCCTGAGATGCCTCATCAAAGCGAAATATGATTGTCAGCATCCCGCCTCGGCGACATAAGGGGCGAGCTGTACAAAATATATTGCTTTAGGTAGTGCACTAGCTTTCACTGTCTCATAAGCACTTCATCAAGGAGAAGTTCGCGTGGCTTGATAAAATATCGTAAACTATGGCTGATGGCACTGGCCCGACAGTCCCAACATGGGTGTGGTACAACTTAACTGGGTCGACCTTCAGGACCCACTGCAGTACTTCCCACCATATCATGCTGCTTACACTGCCAGAGGCTGAAATGGAGTCATCTGTGTGACGCTAACAAGACTGGCGAGGATAGTGTGTTGATTTAAGTTCTTAATAGAACGCGTTTAGTTGAAAGTTTTCAGACAAAGTTTTTCGTTTATTTTGCTAAGCAACTAGAATGCGTAGCGATATCCGCACATGCCCACAGGCACACATGCACTCACATACACATAGAAACACACGCTTGCAGACCATCGCCTTTCTATTAGCTAGTGTGCCTTTGCCCCTGGGCTGCCATTCTTATTGCAAACACCTCATTTTCTGTCGCGGACAACGCTGTTTTTTTTTTGTTCTGAACCAAAGATGCCGATGCTGACGCCGCCGACACCAGAACTTTAGAGAACGGAGCTATTTAGTGCTGTCGCGTCAAAATGCGACTGCTCCCCAGGCCAATGTTTACGGCTGTCGGAGCATTTATATGACAAATACACCATTAGCAAATCAGTTGCATATAAAATTAGGAAATCAATTTCGTTACAATAAAGTCACAGTGGATTAGTTTATTGACATCCATGCTTATGTGTATATCGAGCGTAACAAACAAGCGAGGCTACGCCACAATAACCTTCTACACGCAGATCGGAGTTGCTCCCCAGTGAGCACCATTTGTCACATGAAACGGAAACAGCCCAGGCGGCTAACACAATCTGGACGCGGTGCTGCGCACAGTGTCATCACCTAACTTATTCTTACACCGTGGCTGCAACCACTCGACATGCAAGATCACCAGCTCGCCCGGATGCAAACCAGCCTGTAACGCTATTGTGTTAAAAGTTAGATGTTTGGCAGGCACGGTACCATGTGTGGGCTGCTTTAGCTATGCCCAGCTTATGTCATGACAAATACAACGAAACAGGGCCTGTGCACTCTTTAAGTGGGCAGTCTCCATACAACTTTTGTAATGTTCTGTCAAAAGGCTCCAACCAAAAATTGGTTTATTTCCTTATGTTTCAGAATCAACTCGATTTCTTCTTCAGGGGGAGAGCTTAATTAATCTTAAGGGGAGTGAATTAAGACTTCAAATCCCACCAACTAAGAAAATGGTTTACTTATCGACATTTTGGAATCAACATGATTTCATCATGAGGTGTAATCACCCCCCCCCCCACTCCACAGTTGATTGATTGATGTGTGGGGTTCAACGTCCCAAAACCACAACCTTCAACAATTCAGAGCACTTGCTTCGGGAGAACTGACAGCTGTCCCAATGCGCTTTGAGACAAAGAAGCCAACCTGCACAATAATATGTCCTAAAATAACTGGCGCTGGCAAGTGTAGTAAAATGTGAGCCCTGAACTTGGGCTGGCCACATGCGTAATTGTGTATGCACCGTCCTCCAAAAAGTAATGTTTTTTGATCAGAGGTTTATCAGCAATCAGCTGAAATTCGAAATGTCAATCTGATCTTTCATGATATATGGGTTTTAACTTCCCTAAACCACCATATGATTATGAGATACTTCGTAGTGGAGGGCTCCAGAAATTTCTACCACCTGGGGTTCTTTAACATGCACCCAAATCTGAGAACATGAGCCTACAGTATTTTCGCCTCCATCAAAAATGCAGTCGCCGCAGCTGGAATTCGATCCCGCGACCTGCTGGTCAGTAACTGAGTACCTTAGCGACTAGACCACCGTGTCGGGGCTGAAGAAGGAATTAAGTTGATTCCGAAAATGTTGGGAAATAAACCATTTTCAATCACAGCCTTCTGAAAGCCCTAGCTTTGCAATGCAGGTAATTTGCATGTTCTGTGGTATCTTTTCTTTTTCAGCTCTGCATAATATAGATAGCGAATTTGTCAAATCTTGCATTCAAGTCATTGACTGTGAAACAGACCCACGATGTCTCTTGCAAGTGTTTGCCATAATTAATATGATGTGCAGAAACTTCATTTTAGGTGAGTATTCTTTGCAATGCTTTGCTGCTCTGATTCAGAATGTCGAACTTGATAATCAAATGAGCCGATGTTTTATAACACATTACCTGTCTCCAGTGATGCACATTCAAAGGGACACTAAAAGCAAGTATCAAGTCGACATTGGTTGTTGAAATAGTGGTTCAGAAATCTGAAAGCGTTACTTTTCTGCCGAGGAAAGGCTTATTTTAAGTTAAAATCGCGTTTTAGTGGTGCGCAATAAGTTAGCGCACTTTAAATTACCCCTCTCAACGAAACGTCTGACGTCATTGTTGTCGTGCACAATGTTGCCCGGCTCTAATGCGCGGCCGCCAACACTATAAGAGCAGCAGAGGGAAAGTAGCGGTAGCCACATCAGCAAAAACAGCCATTCAAGAATTTTTAGCCATGGCCTTGAAGATTTCAGTTAGGCTTGGCTCAACTGGATCCCGCTAGATGGCACGACTTGTCCAGTTTGACCACCCAAAAATTGAATTTTTTTGACCATTCGCACCATTGCACATAGTAACGTCCGGCAGTTCTTTTTTACATAAATCAAACAGAAACGAACAAGTAGCATTTTATTTCATCTCTTGATGCTCAAAAGGTTCTAGTGCAGTTAGTGGTTACTAGTGATTAATTGTAGGCAATTTGTCTGATGTCATCGGGATCAATTTGAGAATGTCCTACTGCGGCGCATGTATTTTTCTGCATTTAACTTCTCGGTAAGTAGGGCACTGCAGTTGATAATGCCGTTTTAGAGATCATACATTGAGCTTTCACTCTGATATAAATTGTTAATTGACTTTAGTGTCCCTTTAATGAAATTTTCCAGTGTGAGAGAGTAGGTGAATGTGTACAGTTAAAGAAACTTGCAATATTATGGTGAAAGGCTTCCTGCACACAAATGTGTATGCATTGATTACCTTGGAGGATCCCTCCTGCACAGACACATTGTTGGCAATTGCCAAGAACAACTTATTTTAATAATATTATTATTACTATTAATATTATTAGACATAGTAGTAGTATTATTGAACCTGCCTATAATGCACCTCTATGCAAAGAATTCATCGATATTGCAAAGTTTTTCGATTCCCCGCCATTACTCCATAGAAGCACAATTTTTCAACCTCTATGTAACGAAGTGGCAGCGGGAGACACCTTTGGTAAAAGAACTCTACTTTTTATAGCACAAGCATGCATCTTTTGTGGTTGCCTCCTCCCCCCCTTTCCGAGGACAATGCACGAAGCGGCAGTGGCATGCATTGCCCACTTGAGGCCCCAGCTACTGCGAGGCAAGGGCGAGTGCTCGGGTGTGCACATGGATAGGGCCGCTGATTTTGCCATCACGGGCGCATGCACAGTCATACCCTCCCGCTTCCCTTCAAATTAAAAACAAAAACAGATGATGACTTCTACGTTGGCAGCACCAATTTCATGTTGTCCGGGGTGTTCTCACTTTTTGACTCCATGTGTGCGTGCGAATAGCTCCGGCAATGTTCCATTGTGTTGCCAGAGCCAGTATTAGAGGTCACGGATTGACAATGGTAGAACAGCATTGTATTGACATCCTACGAGCGTTCACTATTGTCATCCCTTACGAACAAGCATTATAAAGCGAAAAAATCAGTTTCACCACCAGGGCAAAGCAATGAATGTGATAGCGACAAATGGTGATGTTATATGAAGTAAGGCTGGCAGCTAATAACTTTTCGGACCTGATATCGCATAACTCTACAAAACACTGATGTGAGAGAATATGTTGCTTCAGGGGAAAAAGCTCTTTTCGCACAGTCTCGTGTTCAGAGTGCAGCACATGGAGCCATACGCTCATGGTTTCCGAGGTAGCGCACGTATCAACGATCACAACCATACCCTTAGAATCAAAGTTCACTGTTGCTGCTTAAGTGACCCCCTCCCCCCCTCTCCTCTTTTCGTGCTCGTTCAAGGGTGTTTCCTTTCTAAGTAATTCACGGCAGGTGTTACGGGAATGCGATGGGGGGGGGGGGGCAGTTTTATTGCATGTGCCTTCCAGGCGGTGAAGATGGGTTGGCTCGTCTAATCTCCGCTTCAGCGCTTTTATCGGTGGTTTGAACTTACGATGCAGGAGGGCATGTTATCAAAGGCGATGTTCATATAATTGCTATCGTGGTAATAACATTTTTTTTACTGCTAAATAAATCTTTCCAATGTGCTATGCCTTCAGTTCCCTTTTTTGTTTGTTTATTTTTGGTGTTTCTTTTTGGAATGTCATGCTGAAACTGCATATAACGAAAACGTGTTTGTAACAAATTTGTCAGGAAATTTGTGAATTTCATTATATCCAAGTTTAACTGTAGTAACAGTATTAGCAGTAGTAGTATGGGGTTCGTGTGTTTGTGACTTATTGCAACGCTGCCTACCCACTCTGCTCTAGGCTTGTTGGTATGTGTGCACTGTAGAGCAAGTTCACGTTGACCTTTTATTTTGCGCTGTACCTGTACTTTATATTCTCAATGTTTTTTTTTTTTTTCCAGGTGAACTAGAAGAATCGTTGTTTGAAGTATGTGCGAACTATTTTCCTATTGACTTCAATCCTGTAAGTCTCACTGGCTGGATTTATCACCTTTAAGCTACAGTTGAGATTCGATATAGCAAAGTGATCACTATGCTCGAACTGTTTCGTTAAATCATAAAGTTCATAATATTTAGAAAGGGATTTTTCGGTGCTTCAATATTTGATATAGTAATATAACAACACGCAGAAGCTCTCTATGGTGTTGTTTTGGCTGCCAGTTCACGCCTGTGCAGGTGAAAAACCCACGAGGGCAGCGCAGCCTTAAAAGGCCAGTAAACAACCCCAAGGTCCAAAAATTGTTGTAAAGGGAAATAGGTAGACTTTAGCTTCGTGAACATGCTGCCGCAAGAATTTTGGAATATGTGCTATACAGTCAAGCCCACATATAACGGCCCCACTTAAAACGAACTTTCTCTTAAAATGAACAATATCCACGTGACCGTGAAAATATACATTGGTTCAATGGCACAAAATGGAACTTACAACGAACGTCTCCAAGCGCCGCTGATCGGTTACAGCGAACGGAGTCAGTGGTCTGCTGACTTCCCGGGAAACCAATTTCGACCACCGATCAGGCATCGACGAGGCGCCCATTCATTCTTATTGTTAAACGCCGACCCTGCCTCCGCGCCCCTCTAGTTGCCGCTCTCCCCGACCGCTTTTTGTTACGCACCCCTCCGTCCTTTGTCCCCCCGCTACTCTGAGCACCCCGCATCGCCAGACAAGGCCCGTGTTTTCACACTGCCACCGATCTTTCGAAGACCGGTCAGCCATCTACCCTGTTTTCGATCGCTGGTACTGTCGTTGGGGTCGCCAGCATGGAGTGACCAGACCATCTGCCAACATCATCGGCCACTGACTGTATCCGATAGTCTGAGACTAGTGCACGCACGTACGCTACCCCACCGACTCTGATAATTTGCGATTTGTTTCGTGTTTACGACTTGTTCTCGCTCACTTCGCACTCGGCTCATCAAGTCTTCCACGCGTATGCGGAAACTCAAAAACGGCTGTTAATTTGTGCGGAACGAATCGCGAAATATGAAGTTCGTGAGGCTACACAAACCCGCCAGTGCAACAAAATGGTTTTTTGACCACGGCCGCCGATTCTTCGAACGTTGCCGCGTGCACCGACTCAGGCGGCCATGCACTATTTCCATGTTTTTCTACGTGCGAGTTTCGCAGACCTTTCAAGCAAGCTACCCAATCTGCCTCCTCGTGTGTTTTAGTTTTCAAGGTCGCCCTCCCGCCGCATCCTCCCCTCTCCATATTGCAACTCCTTGCCCTTCTCTCGCAAGTCTGCTCTCCTCTCTTGATCACACCCCCTTCGCCCGTCTCCACCGCTCCGCGACGCCCGCCATGCTGGCTCGAATTAGTTTCGTTTTCTGACTGGAAACGGGCCCCGAGCCGTTTCACGCGTTCTGGCATGTGTGTCGTGTGTGCACGTCTTGCTAGCTCTTGGTATGCGTGTGTGGTCATGATGGCCGACGGGAGGACTAGCACGCTTTTTCCTGCCCCCCAACAAAACGCCGGAAGTGTGACCACTTGGCTTGAGCGTGATCTGCGTGTTAGGTGCCGCGTTGCGGAGTGCTTGCTCATAGCCAGGTTGACCACCTACCTGGCTGCCAATTTGCCACTTCAGGCATCCCGGTATTCAGCTGTAGAGATGGTGAATATTTCGTGGGCGGTGGTGACGGCTACATGCGCGCGGAACTGTTTTCGCGAGGCCGACTTCGTCGACGTCGGGCCTGATGCCGAGCCTGAAGCTTCCAAACAGGACCACTGCGGCGGCGATTTGTGGCAGCGCGTCGTCGACTCCAACCTGGGAGAGCGGGTTGGACATCTGTGGCGATAGTTTAATTACGGCCGATGATGATGCCGACACTGCGGAACTGTGCACGGATTGGGGCATTTTGAATGAAATAAGTGGCGAGAGCGATTTGGAGGAATTGGATTGCGAGAACGACGAAGCTTTGGAGCCAGCGCTTCATGCAGCTTATGCCACGGGCCTCGGCGAACGAACTGCCTGCCGTATTAAGTGAACTCGAGACCGCCCTTATCGTTTCTGCACTTCGAAACACGTGCATTACGGACTTTTTGGGGCAAAAAAAAAGTGTGTTTTCACTCGCAACTTTTTTTTTTAAAAGCTGTGTTTCATTTACTGCAAACTTTGGGATACAGGGAACAGATGCGCGTCACACTCAGGTTCGTTATAAGTGGGCTCGACTGTATTAAAGGGGCCCTGCAACACTTTTTGAGCATGTTCAGAAAATGGTGCCGATTGGTAGACTCCCGAGAACATGCGAGCCAAATGTTATAACGCAGCATGCTGCCTGGAATTGACAATGAGATATCAGTCCGCTAAAATTTGCTTTCTCTTTCCTAGACAAATGACAGAAGACGCTCAAAAATCACTCGTAGAATGCCCATCAATCAGCCATTGGCTGATTTGAACACGGCGCGCTCGTTTGTTACAGCGATCGCCGCGAGAGGCTGTCACTTGTCCATGGGCGCGCGCGGGATCGCACTGAAGAAGCTGCGTATTCAAAGGAGAAAAAAAAAAAAAGAAAAAAGTGCTCAAGGTCACGAGGCACGTGTGAAGTTTTTTGTTTGCCGCTCCCATTCCTCCCTGCTTAGCTTCCAACATGCTTTCAGTGCTTTCGTCGGGACGAGAGAAGAGAAAATGAGTTTGCAGAGTGTGACAAATCTTTGTAACTCCGCTCGCACTGGACGGATTCCTAAAATTTTTGCGGCGTTGAACTTCTTAGGCAATAAGCTCTTCCAGAGAATTAATTTCATGGTTACTCAAAAAAGCGTTTCCGGCTTCCGTTAGAGAAGTTACATGGGCTAGAACATCGGTGTCATCTGGTTTTAAATTTTCGCGCGGCCTGGCCACTCTTCTCCTTCAAAGGGAGGGAGAGGCGTAGCCCTTCGTCGTGACTCCGCCCACTTTGGCAATGTGACGTCGGCGAACTCGATCAATCGCAACGTACTTTTGCCTGCTGTGATGCCTGGTTGTTTACTGTTTACCTGGTGCCGATGCTTCTCCGCAGCTCAGTCACTCAATTTGCAGCAAAACTGCGTTCCAGAACCCAGACATGAAGTTGGCCCGGTTTTTCGGGAGTTCGATTTTTTGTGAGCAGACTGTCGTGCCATCTGGGAGCAGCAACACAAAGCACATATAATGCGTTTAATAGTGGGTGCGCTGATCGATAGGTGGTGTGACAATCTGCTCACTCCCAAAAACTGGGCCAGTAACGTGTCCGGATTTACATGGAGCCTATGGGGAGTTTCGCAACTCGTATGATTGAATAATTGTCGTAGCTGTGAGGGGGGAACAGGAACTGTCACTACTGTTTTTTTTTTTTTTTGAGACCTGTTTCAGACCAATCAACAAGCTGCGTGCTACACCACGTCGCCGATCGCAGAGTTGGCGTCACTGCGCATGGAAGGAGCATCGGTCAGGCATAAAAAAGTGGCGCGGGAATGGTTTTTTGATATTGAGGCCCTGTACAGCTTTGTAATATTCAGAAAACGTGATCGCTGCTGTCTACTCTACGAATTTCTGAGCTTGTTTGGGGGGGGAGGGGGGGAGGAGAGCTCGATCCTGTTGACTGGCTCTTTAAAGCCATCCGAGTCACCCGAACATGGGGGCCTCTATATGCAGGCCAAGTAGACAGTCGCATGATGCTGTGACAGGGTACCGATATGCAGAGACATAGCGAATGAATGTAGCAATTGTGCGCCCAGGCCGAGCATTAAAAGTGCAAGGCAACAATCAGTGCTATCTACCACATAAACTATAAAATAACAAAAGCAACTGCCACTGCCCCCAGGCACATGTGTTACATAAGGGTGCTATCGCCTGCTGAGTCCGTTGTTGCTTGCATGGGCGTGGTGTGCAGCCTTGTCAAAATCAATCCACAGCCGTGATTACAGCACCCAGATGTGTCAATGCTGGTATTACAAAGGAAACTCGAACAAAAACCTGCCTTGTGTCAGAAGCAGAGAGAAATGACTGCTTTTGTACTTATGTGATGAAAAACTTCATTAGGTCAAGTTTGGCAGCCAAGTTAATTTGCTGATTTGGTTTGATGGCAGCATTCCATTCTATTTTTACCCAAATGGGAGTGAAAATTTTATTTTTATATTTGGAACTTCATAATGTAAGGTTTCGTTAGATCAACTTTTAAGTGTATTTAGCTTTTGTCTTGGGTAGAAATGGTGTTAGAAAGTGGCTAGCTTTGAATCATCTAATATTCGCTTATGTTATTCGCAATGTTCATAGACTGTCGCGCTGCTTAGCAGAATTCAGCAGCGTCCTCTTGAGGATGATCAGTAGGCAGACGCTCCCTTGTTCGGCGGTGCTAGCCTCAGTGTTAACGCGTTAGCAAGAAATGAACACAAACCACTTTGTATGCTTCGTGCATCAGTGAATATACTGGACCGTTCATGACACGATAAATCTGATTCGTTCTTAAGAGACACGATGTTTTCATGAAATTACGTGGCAACTCATGTTCTCAACTCATGCACGACCTGTGCAGAGCCTCTGCGTGGAATGCAACGAACCTCCTTTGTGTCATCGAATTGACCCTGTCATACATTTTAAGAATAAGGTCATCGCCTGAACATTACTGCTACGACATCGCTACAAAGTTTAATTCACGCTTACACTACCTAAACAAACTGAACTTAATCAAATCACTACTCTTCCGAGGATCACTGTCACATGTACGCCATCCCTGGGGAAACATTTCAGGTCGCCATTAAGTCACCTAGACTGCCACCATGGCTTGACCTGTCGCACCTTTGCGATTTGTCACTAAGCTGTTTCAACAAAAAAGACACTCCACCAGGACACGTAATGCAAGAGTTTTGTACACTTCAACATAAATATAGGGATCAAAAAAAAATTTCACACAGATGGCTCGAAAACAAAAAAACCATGCGGGTATGGGGATTGTGACGGCGGAAGAGGCATTTACTGTGAGAGTGCCTCAATGTTTTTCTGTTTTTTC